CTTTTTTTTTTTTTCCTATAAAATTAGGTGACAGCTCTCTAGCCAGAGAAGAACAATACCAAGGAATTCTCACAGCTCATGGGAACACCATCCTTAAGAGTAGGGAGAAAAAGAAATAAAGTCGACTGAAAATATCCTGAAAGGCGTAAATCTGTTGTGTTATACAGAGAGACAAAATCATTCTGTTCTGTATATCTTCCTGTAAATTCCATTAAAAATCCTTTGGTTTCTCTACTCTAAAAAACCCACCAGTTTTCCCACAGTAACCCAACTACTAGAGTTTAAATTGATGTCGTCCTTCGGATGCCTGGGCTGCAGGCATGACCATTGAAATGTGCAGAGGAAGGAAAAGATCAGAAAGAAAATAAACCCCAACATCATTCTTACAAGTTTATGGCATATGATCTTATATGTGTGTGTACGTATGTTTGCATATGCATTGTGTATGTCTGTACACACTCTGTAGATAATCTGTACATCTATTCTCCACCTGGATCCCATGGGGCTGTTACTCCCCTCACCTGCCACCCCTCAGCTGCCATCTGAAATACTGGTGTTAGCTAATAATACAAAATTCCACACACAAAAAGATAAATCAAACACTTTACCCCAGGTGCATCTTTTCATTTGATTAAGGGATCTGCACATTCATTTTTGCTTTACAACACAATTTCCTTCAAATGTCTTCTTTACAGTGTTTCCTTTGTGGGTTGGTTTTAAAATTGTCCTTCCAGACTGAACAGCACCAAAAAAGAAGAGGAGGCGGAGGAGGAGGAGAAGAAAAGAGTGAATATGGAGGAGAAAAATCGAGTTTGACCTGCAAGTCAGGATGAAAGCAAACTCCCGAGAAGGCTTCTGGCCGGGTTCCCCCCGCCCCTCCGGCGGCCGGTCCCCATCCTTTCGGAGCAAGCAGAGGTCCCCAGAGTTTCCCAGGTGGAAAGGGACACGTTGATACCGAGCTCTAACGGTGCCAGCCCCCGGAGCCACCGTGGGATGGAGCGTTGCGAATGCAGTTTCCCAGCTCCCTGCTCGCTGAAGTCACCCGAAGCGTTTCACTTTAGAGCATCCCCCTTTAGAGAAACCTGAAGAGCGGCGAGGCAGAAGTTTGCAAAACCTCGGCTCTGCCTCGCCGGGGGCGGGGGGAGGCGGCGGCGGGCTCTCAGCTCCCAGCGACACTCGGTCCCTCCACTTCGCAGCCCCTTTTTCGGTGCCGGGCAAACCCGCTTTTCCCCGGGCTCCGCTCCTCCCGCAGCGCTCCATGGCTGAACCGCCTTTGCCCTTCGCTGGGGCAGCATCTCCCTCCTCCTCCTCCTCCTCCTCCTCTTCCTCCTCCGGCACAGGACATGTCTAAGAGCTCCGCGGCACTTTTAGTTTGCTCCCCCCCGCGCTCGGTGGGATTAATCTCTCCTTTTGGAGGTTATTTTCGGCAACCAGCCTTGCGGGCGGGCAGAGCGGTCGGAGGACGAGCCGGGCGCTCCCGGAGCGGCAGAGGAGGTTCGGCGGAGCGGGAGTGAACGGGGGGCGCAGCCCAGGGACCCCCGCGGAGGAGCGGAGCTGCCCCGTCCCCGCCTGCCCGCATGGCCCCCGGGCACCGGAGAGACTGTGGGGGCTGCTGCTGCTGAGCAACAACACATCGCTTTAAACTAAGCCTCAACTTGTCACGGCGAGCAAGGATGGCAACGCCACTGGAGCTTTGGAGCTGCCAAAAGAGCCGGGGAACCTGGGTTCTGTTCGCCACCGTCTAATAAATGGGAGTAAAATGGAATTTCTTACCTGGGTTTTTCCTGCCTTGGTTCTACTGTGCACCCAACAGCACAGGTGTATCAGGTAAGAAAACGCCTTATCGTTCTTTCTTAGACCGGCCTTGGCCGTGCTTTCGGTGTGGGCTGGGGTGGAAAATGCCCCGTCTGGCTGGAGCTCTTCCCCCTGCCCCTGCCCGGAGCTCCCACTGCCCCCTTCCCCCCGGGATGCTCCCCACGGAGGGGCTACGACTGCCTGAGTGGGTCTGCAGTGGAAAAAGGGGGTCTTGACTCAAGAGTTTCCTCAATGTGCCCCATCTTTTTTTTTTTTTCCTTTTCGTCTTTTTCTAGCAGAGGATGGACTTCTGCCAGCGGGGCGGCAGGTCCTTGGGTTAATCAGGGGGTGTGTTTTTAATAGGATGCCTGTGGAAGCCTTTTCCCGAGGGCACTTAAGCTAAATTGGGGGCAATCACTTCTTGTAACGGCACTGCACTTCCCAGCGCAGCCTCATCCCCCTGCACAGCTCTGTAGGGGGCCTGCTTGAACATCAAACTCTTCCATAAAACCCAGCACAACCAGTGGGGTTCTAACCCAGCATCTTTGCTTAGGGCCTCCATGGGCACAATTCAAAAACCCAAAATACAGACATTCCTTTCTAATGGGTTCATTAAGTCTCCCCAACTTGAGATAAGAGGAAGAGACTGCCAGAGATCTCAGAAAAAATAAACCACTCGAAGAACGCCAACCATTTCTTAAAATAATAAATTTTAAAGATATATGTTTGCCATTCTCAGTCACATTTATTCTGAAGGTGTTAGCTAGGCAACCAGCTATGTTCTCTATATATTCTCTCCAGATCTGGAGGCTGTGTGTGGAGAAGGCTTGCCATGATTATGCAATGAAAATATAAGGGGGAGTAAAAAAGAACTTGCTGCATGTAAAAACATGCCTACATCATCCAGAGCAGAGATGGCTGTGGTATTAAAGGGGGTCTTCCTACTTCCACTTTATAGGCATTATTAATAGCTTCAGAGGAGTATAAGAAGCAAAGGGATAATTGTAGTAAGACATAACATTGCTGGTACAGTTTTTGGAATTAATTAGTGAGATCTGATTTTTTTCACTGGCAAGGGAAAGGATGTTGCATTAGAGGAAGTGTCAAGTCAACTGCTCCTATTCAGGACTGACAGAATGATTTCTCCTGTGACCTTGAATCTGGGATCCAGGGTCAGATCCTGACACCCTCCTGCTCTGGAGCAATCCAGTACTACAGGGAGGGCAGGGAAAACACTACTTATGACCTAAGGGCATCAAGATCCTGCCCAGAATTTCAGTGATTTGGTTTCCCTATCTGCACTTGGGCTAGCAATTAAGCATTTTGGTTGAAAAGTGGTGTTTGAGTATAAAAGAAGAAGAAAAAAGAATTCTAAGGAGGAGTCAGCCTTCTCAGCCTTTGTCTCCAAGGTCTGTTTTTGGCACAGCAACTGCCAGATATGTGCAACCTCTAATTTGTTGGATAAATTATTTTATATTTGGACTAATTGCCTACTTACTTGACTTTCTTCCTCCAGCTACACAACAGTGATGAATTGTTTGCTAGAAATACAAATACTTGTGGCAGAGAGGGAGGCGAGGCAAATTCTCTTGTGAAATTCCAACTGTTCAGTTTGCAGCAGTTTTCCAAATATTCCAAAGTGCAAGACATTCGATGGTCAAAGAAAACTGCTCTGATTAGTACAACAGTTTTCTGAAGATTCAGGATATAGCCTGGCTATTGCAGAATATTGTTAAATCTTGTAAAAAGGGAGTATCCTTGATTACTTGTGCACTTTTGATGAGTTCAACAGAACTAAACTAAAATGTTATGCTTGCACTGGTAAAACTACTCGCACATCAGCGACCTATGAAATAATTCCTCTTATAAGGGCCCAAGAAGCACATTAACTTCCTTATTCTTCTTCCTTGGAGTTCTGGAATATGATATTACATATATTTTTGGAAAGAGATGCTTTTATGAAGAGCAATATTTTATTAATACTGTGGGTTTATAATAATGGGCAAAACTGCCAATAGCCTCAATTTATTGCTCAGATTTTGTTATCTACATGCAAGGTGATTCAAGTTATGACAACAGAGGCCATCCAAGCCCATGAAATTCTCTGCTTGTGAGTTCTATGGACAGGTGTAAGAAAAAATATATGCAGAAAAGGAAGACTATCTCAGCGAGTTCTGAGCTCAGAGGTGTGATGTAAGAATTCCCAAAGGCAAACCTACCTAATAAAATAACGTTAAAGCTTGGAGAGGAGGGAAGTGGGGAATACACATAACCTGTTTCCTCAAAGCATTTGTGAATATCCTTTGAGGGTGCTTTAGAGGGCTGCATTTGAAGCAATTTCTTTGTCATGTGTGCTATTAACTGAAGGGAATGAGCCAAATTCAGCCCAAGTCAGCACATCCTGCTAATGCCAGTGCTGTTTTCAGGTAAATATTTTTACAAAGTACTATTTCGTGGTCTGCTTGAGGCAGTGATTAGCGTCAAGAAATTTGGCATTTATGTGATTGACAGCTCTTTGGCGCAAAGACTGTAGCTTGCATTATTTTATCAGAATTTGATGTGCTGTGGTTGCTGCAATAATAAATGTGTCATAGTGAATGAGCTTATCTACTGAAATACACTGAGTGAAATATTTCTTCATTTGCACAGGGAAAGAGTACTATTGATAGGAGTTTTGGGGTGTTATGTCCGTACTTTGTAATTCTTTACTAAAAGAGATTTTAATTCTCTAATTATAAATAGTTGTATCTTTTACATTTAACGTTCTACTACGTTAAATGACTTTTATGCATTTGCATAGAATTGTCCTTCTGTTGCGTGTCTCCCCGAGCCTTTTACTTCTATTCATGGAAGTAGAGCAGCTTTAACACATGAATATATACAAAGAGTGGTCCATTTTCTGTAGCTTAAAACTCACAGAGAGGAAATAAGGGCTTTTATGTTCAAAAGGTTGCCATGACTTAAGCCTAATGCTTTTTCAATTACATTTCAAAATACAAAACATATTTACAGCCAGCTTCACTTAGAGTCAGGAATGGCAGATGGGAACGATACACACACTGTTCTGGATTATCCTGGAGTTTGAGAGCTACCAGATTGTTCACTGACCTTGCAGGATATTCCTTGTCTTTTTCCCAAGAGAAACTTTTCTTGAGTGGCAATGACATCTGGGACATTTGCCCCCAGAAGATTATCTCAAAGAAAATGAAACGTACTCCATCCCAGGCCTCAGTACCAGTCAAACCACTATTTCCATCTACCAGGTTAAAAGATTCATGTAAGAACTAAGCCACAGTCCCCAAAAGAATCAGGTTAGCAGATTTAAAGAAGAAAGAGGAGATGCAAGAAGTGATTTTCCACATCTTACTGCTATATGTGTTTGTCAAAAGGTTAGTGCACTCTCCCTACAAGTGTAACCAAAAATCAGTATCTCATTGGCCACTGACTTAAAGATGCTGCTGAGCTTTTTGCGCTGCTGCTAGAGCTTTTGGCACTGCTCTGCAAAATGAATATTGCTAATGTTCTCTCTTCTTCAGCTGCTGTAGTGCCCTTATTCACAGACAACATATAGATTGCCTCTTTCCCTGGTGTAATTTAAATACTGCCCAGATTTTTTCTAGTAATATTGATACATTTCTAGCAACTGTTTTCAGGCAGTGTGCTGGAAGATAGTGAAGACAGGCTCATACCTCACTTGCCTGACAAGCCCTTTAAAGATGTGCTGTCCAAGCTGATTGATGCTTCTCCTCCAGATCACTCCACATCAGCAGAATGCAATGGTCCTGCAGCAGCTGGGGGAAAGGTGTCAGCTCGCATCGAAAGGATTTAGGGATATATGTACTTTTTATTCTAGAACTGATAGCACTTAGCTCTGAAAGAGATGTGCTTCTTTGTCATTTGAGACTCATTGCTTGGAGCTGCTTTCCCTAACCTGTGACAAGGACAGTTTTGTTAGGCAAAGAACAACTTTATAGTTTTGCCAGGTTTATCAATGGTGATTTCCCCTCCCCTTTGTTTAGTGTGCAAGAGAACTAACCATTCTTTTCATAGTTCAACCAGCAGAAATCTGTTTTCTTCTGCTAACAACAAGCTCTGTTGAAGTTCTCATAAAGCTTAAACTCCAGATATGTACGGATGTAGATATATTCTCCAGAATATCTGTTTGAAATGAGATGTGTACAGAGTGTGGGTGAAAAAACATCTTCTTCAGCTTTAGATTTGGGAATGACTTCCAGAATGGAATTAGTACACGTGACTGTGTTGCCATTCAGTCAGCTTGGCACCCCACTCTGGACTGGTGCAAAGGAAAGATAAGCTTTTTGATGAGCTGTTATGCCCCTTGAATGTTACAAACCAATAGCTTAATTTTACAAAGTCCTTTTCTTACTAAAACAAGCTTTACAGCAGCTTATGTCAGGAAGTGAAGTTGCTGAATCAACTAATAGTAGTTTCCTTTCTTTTCATCTTTGCTGCTTACACTATGAAAAGTTAATCCCTTCCAATGTGTCTTTTTTATGCTGCTCTTCCTTTTTCAGGTGCAATAAATGAATAATATTTTAGGCCATATATAATCCCAACTGCTTATCAAGGATGAATGACATTCTCCCACATTCTTTCATGTAACTTTAAAGCACTGGATGTGATGTACAGAGGTCTAGAGGAATGGCTCAAAGGAGTGATCACGGACTGGCCTGTAGAGTGGCATCTCCATGAAAATAGCCGAATACTAGCAAAAGCTTTTGGTAACTCAGTGACAACCGTTTGTAAATGAAACTCTAGGTTATTCTGATTTACAGTTTCTATTTGAGTATCTAGGAGCCGTTCTGTGAGCACCATGCCAGTATATGAGGGTGGCAGTAGGTGATTAAGAGTAATTTTGTTGCCCATTTCAAAGAAATTTAAAAATGAACCAGTAGTATAAACGTCAACAAAGTAAATCTAGCCATAAAATTATTTCAGCTGTAATACTTTAATTACCCCCAATGGTATTAAGTGCATATAGCTCCACTAACTTCAACACATTTGTTCCACTGATCATCTGACCCTAAGGCTTTATTAATAATAGAAACAAGATTCTTTTTAATTGTGTCATGGATATTTAAGCAAAATTCCCTCTAGATTGTAATCGGCTTAAAACGCATGGCAAGTCACAGCCCACAGTTTTTAACCCAGCCCTTGTCATTTTAACTTCCTTTTAGCTCTATGGCTCTCCTTAATGCCATTAAATTAGAACACTGACACAGGATAACTGCTGCAGGCTGTAAATGCTTTTTCAAAAAAGATGAGGCTCCTGGCAGTTCTTATGGTGACATTGCTTCTCTAGAGCAAGTGAGTGACTGTAAGACCGTTATCTGGGGGTGAGTTCTGGATGCATACAAGTAGCAATACCTATGGGGGGGGAGGGCAGCAGAATTTGGTTTTATTCTTTTTCTCGGGGTGAGTACTCATAAATATACATGGTATTCTAATTTTACACTGAGTTGTGCCAGCACTTTTGTACTATTGTGTTTGTAGGAAGCATAAGCCAGACCCTCCCACCCTCACAGATCAGGCACACAAGACAGGTCACTACGGTAAAGTCACCTTTGGGCTTGAGTATTGTTTTCAAACCACTTTATAGAACTTGGCTGCAGTTTTAGCAACAGGAGTTGAAAAGCCCATCTTCTACTGAAAATGCAAAGAGATTTTAGACAGATATATTCAATCAAGCTTATTCTAGTTCTTTAATTATGGAAAGACAAAGTATCACTCTTTACCTATAAAAGGAGCTCAGATATTTTACTGATGAGGAATACCATTACGTACCTATGGCCAAGACTTACAAGTTACAAATTAGTAAGTTTTTAAATAAAATACTTTCAACATAGTCTCATATTATCTAGTCTGCCAAGGCTTTAATTTAAAAAATTATTTGTTTTCTGTATAAGCTGAGAGCCTTACTATTTCCACAAATAGGATAGTCAGTGTAAAAGAAAATAAATGAAAGAATTTCTGAACAGCAATGTTTGATGCAGGAGAAAGCCAGACCTTAACATCTGCATCTTGCCAAGTATTATAAAACTATGATTTCAGTTAAGTAAATACTGCCAGTTGGATGATTGAAAGACCAGCACATAGGAAACAGCAGTCTGATAGAAAGAAGTGTTTATATAGTTGATGAGACCCAATAAAGAAGGAAAAAACCTCTGTCAACATCTGTTATAAATCTTCAAAGCCCTTGTCTAAATTGATTATGTTATTCCAGTTGTAGCTGAAAATATGGCTCTGAGTCTTCCAAGATCCTTACTCAGAGGAGATATAGCAACCTGAGAAATAGCTGAGATCGTCGGTTGAGATGAACATAGAGATGAACATATAGCAGTGTGCTCATGGCAAGGAAACATTCTAAGTGCAATTTAATATATATCCCCAATTTTAACATTTTGCCATGAACTAATGAAGTTTCACTTTGCAGCAGTGTCCCTATGCTTTAAGGTCACTTACGCTTTGACAATTCCGTTAATGTAAGTTTTCAGTGTCTCTGCTGCTCAGAACTTACATTTATACTTTGTAATCCCAGAACTCCTTCCTTATATAATTAACTCCACACACGTGGAGCAAGAAATTGATCACCAGGGCAATCAAAGATTTTTCTTTCGGTCTTCTGTGAGGAGAAGAGTTAGTTATTGTAGGATACTCTGCTACTGTGCTAGCAGTTACTGCATGTGCTGAGCTGAATGCCCAGACTGGCGTATTTTGGAGAGAAAAAGCATGTGCTTTATGTGGGTCAATGTCGCATGAACACTCTAAGAAAGTTATGTAAGTACCGAGGCAGAATATGTTTATGGTATATTCCTCTGCAGCCTTTCGTCGATGTTTAACGAGTTTCTCTTCTGTCACTAGTGACATATATCTCTCAAATGCCACATTTATTGCTGGATTCAGTGGAAGATGCTAAACCAGTGCTCAGAGAGTTTTGATATAGTCCATGCATTCAGATGCAGGCCCTCTCAAACCACTAGCAAATTTTCTCTTTGCAAATAGTTGTGGTAGACGTTGTCACAGGCCTTCATTTATCCATTCCCGTCGTGTCAATCACAGCGCTGGCAAAAGAAATGGTGTGAGCTTCAAATGAAGTCTGCCAGCTCAGTTTAAACAGTTAATGCAGACAATATAAGCTTGCTTTGTTTATAAGAAGTTATGGAATATCCACATAACTGCTTGTACCAGGAGGGTTGAGGGGCTGGCATCTGCCAGGGGGTGGAAAATGGCAACAAGAAGCTGTGCTAATGTCTTCAAGGAGCATCACTGGATCAGAAAGAAGCATATGCCTAGCACCTCACACTGCAGAACCATGGGCCTCTCAAGATTTCTGGAGGCTCTTGAATCCCTTGGACTGTAGACAGCCACCTTTTTGGCTCAGAACCAGGGAGAACTACTGGGGTTTTTGGGTGCCGTGGTCAGCACCTCCTGAGTTCCAGTGTCACATCCTGCTCCTGTTGAGGTTTGGGTCCGACCCACAGGCAGCTCCGCACAGGGTCAGGGCCATGGGGATGCCTCCTTCAGTGCTTGTCCAGTGTCACATCCTGCTCCTGTTGAGGTTCGGGTCCGGCCCACAGGCAGCTCCATGCAGGGTCAGGGCCGTGGGGATGTCTCCTTCGGTGCTTTTGTGCTTTCAGCTGTTCACTTCTTAAGCAAGATCTCCTTTTTGACCATATCTTTGCAGCTTTCAGGTGTTTGTACACCTTCTATTAGCATTGCTTTTCAGATTTCTGAGGCCTAATGGTACTTTTCACAGTATCGAAGATGTTAAATCCAAATTCCAGCTGTGTAATTTGTACTGTTTTCCCATCACATTTGGCAATATACCAGCCTTCTTGATCTCAGCTGTTCCACAGTGGCACTAGGAGCTGTCACAGCTGCTGTGTCCTGCTACCCAGATAGCTGCATTTCAGCATCCACAGATGCAGTTTATGCAGTATACAAAGTATCTTGTTTTCCCTCATGCTTTCTTTGCATTTCTAAATCTGTTTTTTCCTATTTTGTTTTTTAAAAGGAAAAAAAAAACCTTAAAAAGCATGTGCTTGTATTTCAGAAAGAGGCTATAGTCTTGCCTGAAATATGTTTTGATTTAAACAGAAATATCTGAAATGGTTTTCCTATCTATATGCAGTATTTTTTCTCAAAATTACCTGTATAGCTGATTATGCTGTAGATGGTCTCTGGTGTAAAAGAGGTCAACGTCTCCCATTTTCTGTTATTTTTCTGTTTGTAAACACATCCAAGTTTTAAAAGGTGCTTATTCTCTTTACCTAGAGCGATGAATGACATCGGCGATTACATAGGTTCCAACATCGAAATATCCTGGTTACCCAACCTGGATGATTTAATGAAAGGGTACGCACGGAATTTCAGGCCTGGGATTGGAGGTGAGACTTTGAGAGTAATGTCTCTTTTGTTTCTTACAATCCTTCTACCCTCCAATGTTTATGTGAACCCTCTACATGATTAAAAGGTTGTGGTTGTCTATTACTTGGATACTGGAAATAATGACAATCAACAATGGGTTTGATCTTGAAAAACAGAATTAGCATTACAGTCTTCTTGCTGATACAGCTCTTAAATCACTGATTTCTAAATTGAAGGGATTTTGGATTACATTAAGTGACAATAATTCCTGCATTTGCTTGAAGCCAAGCTGTCTGAAACCAGATGATGTGGTTTCCAGAAGGGATTCCATAATTTCCAGTAGTTGTGATTGTGTCTCATGTCCTTTATCACCGAAGGGAGGTATTCTGTTGGAAATTCAGGATGCAATCTATGAAAGATTTAAATCTCTTGCTCTAAGGTAGGTTTTACTTGGAAAGTGTACTTTATCTTGGAAAATACTTTTATAAATTCCCTCTGTGTGAAAGAATTAACAGTCTTGGGTCATCTATATTTTTATAGGTACTATGATGATGTAAATCACTCCATTCAAACATTTTTTTCTCAGGTCCTCCTGTTAATGTTGCTCTTGCAATTGAAGTAGCCAGCATTGACCACATCTCAGAAGTGAACATGGTACGTTACCAGTTACACCTACCAAGTTGTGAGTGTATCTACTGTAACAATAGAAAGTGTAGAAAACTAAGTAAATAGAAAGACAGTTGATCCCAACATGTTTGGAGTGGAGAAATTACCACAAGAAGTTACTGCAAAGAACAAACATTGTATTTTAAGCCACAGGCAGAGTGTCTTCTGGCAACCATTGGCAATTACAAGAATCTGGCCATGTGTACATCACTGAGATTTCTCACTACAGTTAGCAAGGTTGGATCTGAGCAGCACTGACTAAGTTTCATTTTAAGCATTAACTCCAACTTCTGTTCAAATTCCTTTTCACCACAGATACTTCCCAAAAGAAGCTAAAGGATGATTGGTTGTGAGATGCTCCCTTTTGTGTAAATACCTTTCAGCAAAGCAGTGGAGCATAGCAACTTATAAGTCACATAAATGAGCATAGGCATGAATTAGCTGCATTTCTGAAACACAATAGATTTCATTTTAAAACCAAAACTTTGACTTTCCCTCCGTCCTTTCCCTTCATTACAGTTGCATGACTTCACTTGATTTTTCAGCTTTGATTTAAAAAACTTTCAAAACCAAAAGTTGTACTTGTGGAGATTTCTGATTTTCTTACTGATTTTCTTCATTAAGACATATGAAACTCTTGCAACTTGTTATATGTAACATCGACATTGAATCACTTTTTGATAAGCCCAAGCTTATCCACGATAGAAGCATATGACAGAAATTAAAATCCTTGGGGAGGTTGACTGAGTATTTAAATACTTATTTGCAGAGGAGACAGTTAATACATTTCTAGGCTAATACAATGATTTTTGACCGAGTTCAAGTGCATTATCATTGTGTTAGTTTAGCATCACTTTTTAACTGGGATTTGTCTTGTCGTAGGAATATACCATGACGGTATTTTTGCACCAGAGCTGGCGAGATGACCGTCTGTCTTACAACCACACCAATGAAACTTTGGGCTTAGACAGCCGCTTTGTGGACAAGCTCTGGTTGCCAGATACTTTTATAGTAAATGCCAAGTCTGCCTGGTTCCATGACGTGACTGTGGAAAACAAACTTATCAGGCTCCAGCCAGATGGAGTCATTTTGTACAGCATCAGGTGAGTGAGAAAGAGTGCAAGTGTACTCCACCATGTATTACATTTTTGAACGGACTATAAAGTAATTATTCAGTTTTCCTAGGAAGATTTCCTAAAATAATTATTAATTTTAAATGGAAGAAAGTACTAGTGACTCCTATCAGAGATCCCCTTGCTTTATAAGGATTACGCTGCCAGGACGGTGTTTTTGGCAACACTAACACATTTTCTACTGCATAATCACTGATCACCTTCAGAATGTCCTTAATGGGAGATAAGTATCTCGTAACTATTTGGTCACTGGGCAAAGAGATGCTGAATACAGAGCAAAGATTTTGTTCTCCACCCTCACACTGTTTTCCAAGAGAACTATGAGCCTGATTTAGGCTCAACTTCCCCACCTTTCAAACAGAAGAACTAGTATTTCCTCACTTTGGAGGAGTGTTCTTCCTAGAATTCAGTAACCATTTTTTAAGTTAATTGTGTAATGTTCTAAAAACGCATGAGTGTGCATCTTTAAAATTGTAACTCCAAAGTCACTCTCAAGGTATTGGTAGTGATCTTAGGGACAGTGGAAGGGAGCAGATTTGACTCAGAAAAGTCCTTTTTATCATCAGAAGTAGCTGGAGCACCCTCTGACATTAGACAAGTCGCTTGACCTTTCTTCAATTTCCCCCCACCTTCGGGTTTCCCAGACTGAGTACAGACAGGAGCCGTAAGGATTTTGAAAACAGTTTCCTGTATTAGTATTAAGGTTTCAAAGTTTTCCATTTAGTCTTTGAGTTCTGAGGAAAAGGCTCTATCGGGACGCAACTAACTGGTGCTCACGTTGCTTGGAACAGGATTACCTCAACAGTGGCCTGTGACATGGACCTTTCCAAGTATCCGATGGATGAGCAAGAATGCATGTTGGACTTGGAGAGCTGTAAGGGCTGAGTACAGTGTTTTATAAAATCTCTATTTTGTTTAAAGCCTGCATATATGATACTTTGCTTGCTGGAGTTTGCTGGAATGATTCTGCTTTAGTTAATGATGTAAGGGGTGCCTTAGTATTTAGAAATAAAGGGTATAAACATGAATCCCTTCATGCTCTGTGTTGGGCATTAGACTATGGACTTTTCAGTACCAGTTCAGCTCTGATCCAGTTCAAAATGATGGGATTTAGAGTAGTGAAGATGAACAACCTACAGTCCTGCTGACACGTCTGGAACTTTGTGCTTCATGTAAAACCTAGTGCAATCGTGACAGCCACTAGCATTACTGAGCTTTGCATCAAATCCAGCAAGAATAAGTAGAGAAGCCCACAGGCAAAATTCAATGGGCTATTTTTTTCTTTGTGAGAAAATGGGGAAAAAGAAAGAATTCCCTGCTTTTAATGAATGCCATTGTGACTAACCCTTACATAGCTGTTCAGCTTGCCTGGGCATCCCTGGATCTCTTCCACAGAAATCAATCAGAATGTTCCATGGACTGGCTTAAATTCATTTGTACTCACAAAGGAGGGTGAAGAATGAATTTATATTTTGTCCAAACTGTATTTTATCAGCATGTAATGCCCAGGAACATTAATACTTCTGAATAAAATACACCACTGAAACAAGCAGGGGCCACCCAATCACTGGCAATGAATCTGGCCTTTTGTGGTTTTTATATCAAGGACTCTACACATCCTGAGGGTTCCAGGGATTTGTGAACAGTGGTTTCTGAACAGATTCCCTGGCCTATTGATGCAAGTTTATCTTTTTCTTTTTTACCACTGACTTTGTTTTCTAGGCAATTAACCATAATACCATTTTATCCTGTCAAAAATAGCGATCTACAGTTTTACTTATGTAATCACCAAATGCAGAGGCAGCAGACAGTGAACCAGCAATCAGTGCTCTCTCCCACCAAGTTCTGCTGGGAGTTTTTTGGGTGGCTGAATTTTTTAAATTGAATTTAAGGATTTTGATTTCAGTGAAATGAACATGTACAAATAAAACCTCTTTAAACAAACGAATGGTTAATAGCAAGTTGTCCATTAACAGCAAAACTAACAAAGATTCATTTCCCATGGACTTGAGGATCCCTGACAAAGGAGATCTGTCTCCCCGACTGGCAGAGAGTACCCATCTCCTAAAATCAATGTGTGAAATTGAGACAGACTTGCAGTACAGAATTACACTCTGATCTGTCTGCAGTAGGATAGACACAGATAGCTTAAATTCGGTAGTTATTTTATTTTACAAACAGAAATTTATATGACTCTGAGATCCAAGCCCAGTGCAGGGGTAGGCAGGCTAGTTTGAGTGCTATACGAACAGTTACTCTATGTTAAATGACTATGCAAATGAGCTTTTTGAGAGATAATCTGACTATTTCTCATGACACTGAAGTGCATTGTGCCATACCACATATGCTATGCAAATGAGCTTTTTGAGAGATAATCTATTTCTCATGACATTGAAGTGCATTGTGCCATACCACATATTGCCAGTCAGTGTGAATCAACTTGGATTATTCCCCCTGTAGGAAAGCTCCCCCAATGTGATGGTGGCAGCACTGACGTTGCCAGGACAGTGAATTATCCAGACTGAATCACAGCATGTTTGCAATGGGACCAACGAAAATCCACAGAGCAGAGGAATTAGAGGACTTCCACTACGGGTCCTCTAAGTTCTTAATTTCTTCCTCAAACTTTGTGTTTATTCAGCTTTCTTTTGGCAGATGGCTATTCTTCAGAGGACATCGTCTACCACTGGTCAGAAAACCAGGAGGAGATCCACGGGCTGGATAAGCTGCAGCTTGCTCAGTTCACAATTACCAATTACCAGTTCACAACAGAAATGATGAACTTCAAATCTGGTACTAGGCTCTGTCTTCAATTCAGGGACAGTATCTGATTTTTTCCTGCATAGGGAAACCTCCTGTATCTATAATAGAAAATCCCTCTTCTTAAGTAACTAATTTAAGAACCTGTCAGGTTGCTGGTAAGAGTTTTCTTTAGCTTAGACTTGGAAAAAATGCCAACTTTTGCTGAGCCTTGAGGTAGCCAGTGTACCATATTATGTCCTTTAGCTCTATGTTTGACAAAATACTGCATGGACGCAAGCTAGATAGTACTTGATAAAAAACACTCGAGGTATAGCTCGTATTTTCTTGACCTAATTTGCAATTTCAGATAAAGAAAAATTTCCATTAGCCCTGACGTGATGAGGCTTATGACGTACAGTCAGATCATTCGAATTCCATCCAGTAGAAGTCAGTGGTGTGTATGCGTATCGCTGGGTTTATTGCAATGTTTGTAAAAGATTGGAGTCATTTCTTTCCTGCTGATTTTTCATCCTCTTTCATGTATTCAGATTCTCATTTATGCTGCACATCTCCTCTAAGCTCTTTTTTTGAGTTTGAAATTAACTTGGCCTTTTAAAAAATCTAAATTTAGTATCTGGAGGACTTTCTACAGCAGATGATAAGACAGTACACATTTTGAAGCAATACTGTTATTCGAGAAGACTCATGATTTTATTTTCAGATCTGGCATTGATATGACCTGAGACAAATCATTTGACCTATTCTTAGCTAACTGCTGATCAGAACTGCAGTACCTCATGCAGGTTTTATGAAGACTTATCTAAAAACATTCAAAAAAGCTTTTTGTGATCCTTGTCCTAAGGATGGTTAAGAATGTAGATCTGTGTCATTGTAAGAAATGTTATTTTGAATATCAGCTTAGCTAATTCCCACAGCCAGAATTTTTCTTTGTGTGCTCTTTTTCCAGCAGGTCAATTTCCCAGGCTCAGTCTCCACTTCCACCTTCGGCGAAATCGAGGAGTTTACATCATTCAGTCTTATGTTCCTTCTATCTTACTGGTGGCCATGTCGTGGGTGTCCTTCTGGATCAGTCAGTCAGCTGTGCCTGCCAGAGTGTCGTTAGGTAAAACAGCCAGTTTGGGGAACTAATAGGGAAGGGTATGTGGAAGTTGTAATTATGGTCCCTAATAATCCTCATTTTCCATGGAGGTGCATTTATAAATGCTATGTTTACATTTGCAGAAGAGAGGGTCCTTTAGAAGACTTTCCTCATGTTTTAATTTGCCACACTATCAGAGCAGCTGCCTCAGTAAAGAACAGAAAATAACCGTCTAAAGATGGTTAAAAGCAGTAGTGAATGTGAGGCAGATGGATGAAAGAATTGATTTGAAGGAACTGGGACAGTGACAAAAAAGAGTACCTAGAGCCTGTGGATCTGTTTGCCTGAGGAAGGGTTGCAAGTCCAGATGCAAGAGTTTTAGAGGGTTAAGTCTTCTGGTTTGGTTTATCCTGCTCTAGAACAAACCCAAAGGCAACACGTTCAAAGCTGCCTTCGTCCTACAAATGCATCGTCCTTTACAAACTCTCCTTTTGAAAATCAGAAGCCACACTATTAAGGGGCTCCTACTGTGAAAATATTACTCAGCTTCAGATTAATAAATACATTTATTATAGTGTATGCTATGAAACTTAAAATAAATTTTCTCACACTATCCTGCAGGTATAACCACTGTTCTTACTATGACTACACTGATGGTCAGTGCCCGATCTTCACTTCCACGAGCATCTGCCATCAAAGCGCTTGATGTTTACTTCTGGATTTGCTATGTGTTTGTCTTTGCTGCACTGGTGGAATATGCATTTGCACATTTCAATGCTGACTACATGAAAAAGCAAAAGAACAAGCTAAAGGCGAGAAGGCAGAGCGCAGAGGTCAGTAAGTGTAATGCTGTGAATAACTTTGCAAAAGCAATCACCCTGCATCATGATCATCTTCTACCTCTTTTGAAAAACAAAATAAAAATTTCCTGGTTCATTCTTTTGTCACGGTAATATGACAAGCAAGCAAATGAAACTGCTAATTTCCCCTTGCAGCATGGTTAGCACTAAAGACAACATATTCTTACGTGGTTTGTTGCTGTATTTAAATGGAGAATAGGAACGAATGAGTAAGAAGAGAGGCAAAATATGTCCTGAGCCAGATTTGTACATCTTACACTTTGAGAATATATTTAGACACTTTGATATTTGTAGCAGATACAACTTATTCATATTCATTTTCTGTCCCACCTTATTATATTGGAGCCAGATTTGTACATCTTACACTTTGAGAATATATTTAGACACTTTGATATTTGTAGCAGATACAACTTATTCATATTCATTTTCTGTCCCACCTTACTATATTGGTTCTCACCTATTGGCTTTGGCCACAGAGTGGGATAACTGTCTCCTTTAAGTCAGTCAATTCCTTTCAGTCAGGAGGACCTAGGCGTGCTGTCTCAACGGTGCTTTGGTAATTCAAAGCATGTAAAATTATAACCAGAATTTAGACCGCACAGTCTTTCAGTGGTTCTTCTGCCAAAACGAGTGATAAATGCCATTCAGCACTCAGGACTCTCAGGAATTTCACCCTGTGGGTATCATGGCTAGCTTGGATCAAGTACGCTACGTGTGCCCTAGAAATTGCTACTATAGGTTGTCCTCTTTCCTTTGCAGGTAAACGTGAAGAATGCCATCGTTCTGTTCTCCCTTTCCATAGCTGGTGTGAACCAGGGACTGGCCGTTTCCAACAGGCAGCACCGAATTCCCCGAAGCCTGCCTGGATCATATGGCACAATAGAAATAGAAACGGGAGAGACAAAACAGCCGCAAATAATGAAACTGGACAAAAAGGGTGGTCTCAAGTCCCTCTTTAAGCCCATTGATGCTGATACCATTGATATATACGCCAGAGCCGTGTTCCCAGCAGCCTTTGCAGCAGTCAATGTTATATACTGGGTTGCGTACACAATGTAAGAAAGGAAAAAAAAAAAAAAGAAGGAAAATTCACGTGAAGAGCTACAAATTGAACAATACCTACAGACTAAAAAGCCCTTGCTGAAACTGTATTGATCCATCTCTTCTCAAAACATTTTCCAATGAGCTCGAGGCATTTCTAAAGTCAAGACAGTCCTGCAATCCCTACTAAAAGCAGCGATTTATTACAGATCTGATTTGTTGCAGTAATAACTGTACTCTGCCAAACAATCCCAGCTCCTTATTTCCTGTATTACCATGAGACAATTTTTCATATGTACATATTTGCAGCAAAAGTTTAAATCTTAAATTACCATGGTTTTCCTCCACTTCAAAGGTTGATCAGTAATGAAGATTTGGCTTTTCACACTCAGATAATTTCCTTTTTTGTAATGGAAGAGCTAATTCCTCACTTGCTCACAAGTGATTTTCTGCATCTGGCCTTCTGTGGGATGATCTAAGTTTAATAGTATTGGTAAAGTTGGAGTTTTTAATCACAAAAATCTCACGAACAAAGTAAAAGGGAATAGAAGGGAGTGGGGGCTTTTTCTTAAATTATTATTTGTCTTGGATAAAATTGAAAACATTTCAATGCTCTTAGTCATAGCATGAAATAAAATATACTACATAAAATTCTACTGAATTGTTAATAATGACTGTATTGCATTTCAGACCTAAACTAATGAAAGTTTCAACACTTAAAACACAGCAAACATTTATTAGTTTAATAGGCTCAAAAATAGACAAAAGTGATTTAGAAACAGAGGCAAAGCTCAGGCTTTCTATGTTGGATTGGGAAAAATTTTAAAGGTGCTTGATAATGAAGGAACTCAGGCTCCATTTTCAGGAAGAGCTTTAGAATTCCTTCTGTTAATTTTCAGTGAGAGTCTACCATGTGCGCCTCTGAAAATATCCTTTTTGCATCTGTCCCTAAATAGCTGAGTGAAGTAAAAAAAAAAAAAGAAGTCATAAATGGCTTCAAGTTACTCAGTTGCTTTGGATATTTTTGCCATCTTTATTCAGAGTCTGACCTAATATGTTAGGCCTTTTTAATTCCATTATTTGGCAATGAAATTTGTGGGTACTCATACACGCTCCTTAATTCAGGACTAGATCCTCTCACCCAACTCACGCAAAATAACACTTTGTTCTGTAAATAATTCTGGTGAACTCAGCAACTGAATGCAATAATCACAACAAATACCAGTTTCATAATTAATCTCTAAAAACCTCCACAGCAAATACGTTGGTATATGTATTAAAACAATTAAAATATTGTTACCGCAGAAAACCAATGTAAGACACTTCAAAAGGGAATTTTTTTTTTGGAGGATTTTGTTGCCTTGAAAGCGAGAGGTTGTTTCAAATATAGAGACTGACACAAAAGAAAACATGAAATGAGAGAGAGAGGGAAGGAAGGAAGCAGAGCAAGTGGCTGAAAGCTACGATGGAAGGGGACGTGGGGAGGTATGAGATTAAACCAGGCAGAAGATGTAGATAAGAGAGGAGCTGTGCTGGGCTTTGAAGATGGGGATCTTGAACGTAGTGGCAACGATTAATAGTTGCAATTGCAATAAGGATGAAACAAGCTTTTGATCACAGTGGAGTGTGCACATTCTCCTGCCTTACTTATCTGTGACATATGGTTTGATTTCATCTGAGTAGCACTGAAAGATAGAGCATTTTAACACAGATTTATAACTTAAAATAAGAGTCGTTCGATATCACTCAAAAGAATGATCTTGAACTGAGCTATAATAGAAAATATACCCAATTCACAAGCCAGGCTTAGGTTCACCTCAATCTTTAGTTTCTGTCTAATGGAAAAACTATCTGCCAACAGTGTGCTGGGAAGCACAAACTGACATCAAGCTATAATTGCTCCACAGAGCTCCCACCAGTCCAGTCTTAGACTGAGACCCCTGGATTCTGCTCCTAGATCTTGCCACTGACATCTCGGGGTATCTTAGTTAAATTTCACTGCATCATCTGCAAAATTAATATAACAATACTGATTTCTTTCCTATATCTTTGAGTTTTACAGAAGAAAAACCCTTCAGAAGAGGCAGAAACTCTTAACCTCCAAATAGGTAAGTGTGTCCAACTAGTACTTATGTGGTGCTATTTACCATAGTTTCTGAGACTCTCACATACTGAATTCAAGCAAAGTATTGCTTAGCTTTCACCTTATCCAGAAAGCTAATGAAGTTCTGCATCTCCTTCAATACATGCAGGTAATCAGGCTTCTCTTTTTTTCTTCTCCTTCTCATGTTTCTATTTTATTTTTCTTGGTGCTTGTTCCTGATGTTGATGAAATGCAGAAATATACCCCTTTTTTTTTCCTAAGCGTGTTTTTGGTCATAATCACTTTCTCCCAAAGGAAGTTCAACCCCTCCTGCTCTCTTCTAAATCATTCTTACTGTTTTATATAATGATTAAGTGCAGAGTGGAATAAAACCAGAAGAAGCATGACTTTACAATGCCTTTTCCTTACTATGTTGTTGCTTTTTTCATGATCCTGGGTCAGGTCCTTGACATATCTTAACTCCCCTTTCTACCTCTTCTTTCAGCTTAAAACTGAACTTTACACCTGATCCAATTCTTGTCTGGCCTCAGAAGCAACAGAAGTTTAAATGTAACTCTTGGATGATGCAGTTTCATAGATGCAAGGTTTTAAACATTCTGTACAGCACTTTGAACAGTATCACCACCCCAGTACTACACCCTTTAGAAAGGCCCTGGTGCCTTATTCTCTTCCTTACACATGCATAAATCAGAAATAATCTTTGTTGTAAAATCAGTATATTAATTACTGCTGTGAAAGCAGAGTCTAACCTTTTTGTATCCTGCTGGTTTCTCTAGCTATTAATGTATTACATTGCCTGTCAGGGTTGGTATCTAATGCTAAGAGTGAAATTATTGACTAAATCCAGCTGAAGAAATACTCGTAACAAGTTCCTGTGGAGTGTAAATCATAAGGAAATAATCCATGATTTTGGAATTAAAGTTATTAAAGAGCAGAGAACAAAGCATTGACCTAGTCCCTCTAGTGTGCAGTGGCTGGTTATTTAGAGTAATTAGCAGGAAGGCAGCTGCAGATATTATAAAGGCAGTGTCTAATCTAATTACTTCAGCAGTAATAGTTTGTGCACCTGACGTAACTCCTTACACTGAAGCCAACTGAATAATCACATGGGGTTATTGGACAAAATTAGTTGCTTCTCCATCTGGGGGACAGTCACAGGCTACGAGCCCTGCTGAGTTCTTCAAAAGATTGAGTTAAAGAATTTGTCTGTAGTTTGACTGCAGATCTTCAAGGTGCACAACTCAGTTGGGACTGATCAAAGTAAAAGGTGGCAGCAATCTTTTCCTCAAAAAAACCCAAAGCTAGAATGATAGCCTATCACAATGTTGTAGACAGAAGCATAAATAAAGGTGGAAAAAAAATAATCTCAAAACATTGCAGGCAGTCAGAAATGCACACTGTGAGCAAACATATGGCAATTGTGTCCATTCCAGGAAGGAGGTGACTCAGAGGGGACCAGGTGTTTCAGCTGCTGTCACTGCACTTGCAGAGTAGCACAAGACAAAACACCTCCATCCTCAAGAGTGGGATTCTCTTAAATCTGTTTCCAGCACCAGAAATAGAAAAGTCAGATGCCATTCAAACACTTTTAAGGAGAAACTTCAGTATAGAATTATGGTGTAATGATTGAGTTTTGCATAAATTTGAATCTCCTGTACTTATGGATGTCCTTTACTTTTTCTTTTTCCATTTAAAATCATTATACTTAAAAATCATAACATACTTTAGATGTAATAATATCTAAAGTAAGTGCCCTATTCAACTCTAATTTCATGATGCCCTTAATAAACAGAAATAAACTAAATCTGATGTCAGTTGAAAGCTGGTTTTGGAGGGGTTGTATTGGCACCAAGGAGAGAAGGAAAAAATAAAATAGACAAGTATGTGACAGATCAGAAGGCACTTTTTCTGTGCTGTACCTGAAAGCATTTGTATTCCTTTCAGCAGTTTAGAGTACTGCTCTGTGGACTTGCGTGTCTGTGAGAAAGAGAGTGGGATATGTGTTAATGTAATCGTTCTAAATGTGAAGTGTTAATAAAATGTAGATATACAGAAATTGGAGCTTCTAGAAAATGGACAAAATAGACATTCAAACTATTGAACTGGAAGATAAAATGCATTAGAAAGAAAATCAAAATGACCTCAGAGATTTCATCCCATAATGAAATCCTGCCTATTCAGTGCCCCAAGGGCTTGCAAAACTCTACTTTGGCCTTGACAACAGGAGAGAAAGTACCATTCTGTATTCATGAGTGCTTTCTGTGGGGCACTTATGCAGACTACTGTATTCATGTTAAAAATGGCTGTTGCTGCCTCAAGAGGTAAAAGAGTCAGAAAGCACAAGATGAAGAAGAGCAAGATACTGCATGATTTGTTTGAAAGTAATGCAGGCAGTGACAGCACTATTAAGATGTTAATATACAATCCTGTTTCTGGGTAAAAATGAAAGCATTTATCCAAGTTGAAGTAAAAGCTCTCACATCAGTTCTTAACTGGTTTGCTAATCCAATAGATAATGTAGCGAAACCAATTTAACTCAATGAGGCTTCTACTGTTGGTACAACAAAACACTTAAAATGATTGCTCTGATTTTAAATACTCAGAGTCATTAACCTAAGAAAGCACTTCCCATTAGCAGGAAAACAGCACCCCTGCATATTTGTCTATGAAGCGGAATAGAAAACAGAAAGCTTATTGAAAGTTACTGAGAATATTTTCATTACAGAAAAATCTGAAACGACTCCCTCATGCCCTCTTTATTATAGCAGCTTAAAACACTTGCAATGGTTGGAAGCCTATTTGATGTTACAAACATCTATAGCTAATACTTCTTAATGAAAACTGAATAAAAAATTTGGCAATGAACATGTCTTTTTGGATGGATTTGGTAGCTGAAATGAGAAAGGCACTGTCTCTTTCTGTCTTTATAGCTTGTGTCCTAAATGAAATGCATTTGAGGATCTAAGCCCGTTGTTACATAATGCATTAGGGATCTGTTCTCTCCTTACACCAGCTTGATGTCAGGGCTATTCCTGTTACTAAGTCCTGCACAGTAAAAACAAATCCGAGAAGACAGTCAAACCCAGGCTGTCAGAAAATATAGCACCAAGAGAACTAATCAGATGCTATTGGGAGTTCACTCTTCCGCAAAAAGATTGGTCCAAAAAAGGAAATCCAAATATTCCTCATTTCTGAGGTATCCGAAACCTCTAGATTTACTCTAGATCACTCTAGATTTAGGATGAGCCAATTCATAGGACTAATTCCACTGAATGGAAGATCCTCTAGCCCAGTGTTCAGTCTCCACCTTTTGGGACAGAGCCTGTCACGGAGCTGCTGAAAATGTGCATTTTTTGCTGAGATCAGTAATTCCCAGCGCTTACAAGCATTTTTCATTGTGTTCTCAAGTGGGGCAAAACCAGACAACATTACAAACCAAAGAAAGGTTATTTTATACTTGCAGGTCTCATCTACACAAAGAAGTTGTACTGATATAACCAAAGTAGTTTCACAAGCTTCATTTGTCAGTACTGTCATTTCAGGTCACATAGAAAAGAGCACCCAAGCTAAAGGCAGAACTGCCCTGGGTAGACAAAGCCTATGACATGTCCATGAGGTGATTTACCAAAAAGCTTGAAAAGAGTCCAACCTCTGGAAATCTATCCATTTTTTTAACTCTTGCAATACTTCTATTTCACTTGATACTCGGTTATCTTTCCCTTTTTTTCATTTGAAAAGTATATCACACTTTGGAAAAAATGAGGACATTTTCTTTCTCTTTGGCACTTGAACGTCTCAGGGAAAACTATTTAATACAATCTCATCACCTAAGTATGAAAAATGTGAGACTAAAAATCACAGTTTACAAACCTCTAGACCTTCCAATGGGTATTACATCAAAGGCAAGAGACAACCCTGTGGTCATTTCATAAGTGAACCAGCAGCACACTCCCACACAAACACATGCTTTCTACCCCATTTCTTTCTCTTGCACCACACACTGGTAACCCCATATATGCAACAGAGAAAAAAGATAGTTTAAGGCACTCCTCAAATTCTCCACACTCTTCAACAGACTCTTCTGAAGACGATAATTTTGGCCCAAACACCTTTAAGCTAGCCACTGGTTAACACAAGTTACTAACAATTAGAGGTTTGCATCAGTTGCTTATTGGGTCAGTAACCTGAACAAGAGCAGCCCTGGGAATTACCTTTGCTAGCACAAATACCACAAAAGTCTCAATTTTCATGCTTTGGGTTACCAGATGGGGTAAGGAGGACACTTTTCTTTACATAATAATAAACAATTAGCCAGCTTTAAGGGGTAGATATGTGGAACAGGCATAGCTGGAAGTAGCAAAAGAATATATAGGCCATTGAGCTATTCCAGTATTACAATTACTACAGTCTTAAGATTAAATAAAGATTGAGTGATGAAATACAGAGTAATCTGTAAAACATCTGCTGTAAAAGTCCATCCAGACGGTTCTTCCTTTATTGCTACATTTCTTTTGAAGTTAGACAAACACAAAAGATCTATTTCTGTACATCTTAAGCTTACCACATTTTTATAGACATATGATTATCCTACCCTCATCTTTGTAGGTCATGAGTGCAAATTTTACATATGCAAGCTCAAATGTGTATATATATAAAAGATAAGAGGATTCTAGATATTGTTTATAAACTACAGTGCATATAGTATTTTAAAATGAACCTGTACTTCATAAAGAAGAAACATTTACTATGTCAGTTATGATTATTTTCAGGTTTCCTACCATGGTGTTTCTGTACATGCTTATTGAAGGATCCATTAGACAATTCCTGGATTTGAAATATTTTGAACAAAGAATACTTGTGTTTCAATCAAACTGAATGCTGGCTGGACCAATAGTGACAATTTAGGACAGCACAATTAAGTCCGGTCCAGGGAAAGCAATAAAAAGAGGATTCTTGACGAACCGAGGTGAAAACTTGATCCTCAGGGTTAAGTAATTTTTGTTTAAAATTTTCACCATTTTCTTCCACCCTTTGAAATGACAATTGGATGTCTTCAATGGAAGAAACACCCATTTTCTTTCTTCCATAATTTCTTTCACTGTTACCTTTCAGAAGAGGGATTGTTGCTTTCTAAAGGATTAGAACCAGGTTATGCAGCAAGAAAGGAGCCCCTATGATTTACAGTGTTTTGTGCTGGTGAACACATACAAAAGCAAAGTGGGCAAAAATTGTGTTTTTACAGAGACAGATTGTTTAAATATCCTGGAAAAATAAATACAGGTAGAGCATAGACCGTTTGGTTTTATTTGTTTTTAAATGTATGTCGTTTGGGCTACTCATAGAATTTTTTATCCTCCTGGGTAATGTGGTGTCAACAAAAGTGAGTTAGCTTCTGGGTGCTTCTATCTTATATAAGACAGACAAGCAAGGGGCGTCTTGACTTAAAATAGTCTTGAAACATTATTCATTTTGTCTATTTTAATATGGGCTAGAAAAACACTAATATTCAATCCAGCAAGAAAGTCTGCAAAGAATTACCATGGTGATTTCTGATGTTATGTAGGATATATGCTTTACTCCAGTTTATGTTAAAACATATTAATGCTTTGCCTTAGCATTTTTATCCAAACTTAGTGGTGTTTGGCCTAAATTTGTTCCCACTGGATTCAGTGATTTCACTGCCATTGATTCCAGTAGAAACAATAGCTTGTCTCTTGCTTGGTAGAAAAAAGGCTGGCTGAAGAGCAGTCTGTATGTCTGCACATGTTGTTGGTTTGATCTGCTAAAGACATTCTATGGGGATGCATTTTCATTCTAGAGTGACACAGATCTGGTTACTCACATTTCTTCTAGATTTGGAGATAGCAGCCATCTCTCTCCATTTATCTGTTGTTTAGTTCATAGGCCACAATCATCATTCAGAGTGACACAGATCTGGTTACTCACATTTCTCTGTTGTTTAGTTCACAGGCCACAATCATCATTCTAATCCCTACTAAATCTTTAAAGCCTTGGAAAAGTTGGCAGGTCCTAATATAGCTGAAGATCTTAAGTCACTACTTCAAGTAATAACAGGGTACCTGTCTTTCCCTCTCCCCAACAACTGGCTGTAAGAACTGGTTGTCATAATGATGTCTTAATGGAGGCCATTTGGAGGGAGAAAAGGTGAGGGATTTTTTTTTTGGTCAACCTTGTCAGAAACATACAAGTACTTTGTGGATAGAGCAGTTAAAAAAATTTTTTAAAAAAGTAATTTCAGCAAAGAAAAGGTAGAAAAATCTGCCAGCCCTGCCACCCAGTCATCAGGTTTAAAATAAATCTTACAACTCTTTATCTTTCCATCTAAGATTGTAAGAAGAACTTAATATGTAACCTATTCCGTAGAAAAATCTGCCAGCCCTGCCACCCAGTGATCAGGTTTAAAATCTTACAACTCTTTATTTTTCTGTCTAAGTTTGTAAGAAGAACTTCATATGTAACCTATTCTGTGAGGAGTCCATACAAGTGCAATGATTCTTCAACAACCTTTGGTAGTAGGAACATTCCTGATAGTTTTGGTCACTTAATCAATGAAGGTCCTAGCTGAGTTACAACTTTATGAGTTCATTGAACTATCAAGATTAAACCAGAGAGCTTTTCCTCCCCGTTTCTCATGTCAGTGGAAAGGGGAGACGTAAACATCGATATAGCAACAACAGCTCCCAAACTACAAGGACAGAGTCTTAATCTCTGCTGAATTCCTCACCTGTGAAATACAGTGAATCATAACAAACATGTAACCTTTGACCTTTATTTCTAAAGAGAGATATTTCTTTCAAAGGAAAGCCTTTTGTTAGCCAGAGAGAGTGCTCTGGAGATGAGATGAATCAACTGGCAGTGACAGTGAGCTAAGAGCCTCCAAGCTACGACTGATAATTCGTGCTATGCTTTCAGTCTAACAGCGTCTTTGCCTCCCACTCACATCTCAACCAGCAGACCTGGCGTGTTTATCCCAGTAATCTGCAATTCTCCCACTCCTGGAATGAGCACTAAGCAATAGCACCTTAAACATTAAACTCTGAAGTCCTTGCTGGGTTGAACAGCAGAACTTTTTCCCTTTAGGATCTGGGATACACGATGATAGCGGTTATCGGACAGACTTTCTAAAGTATAATTAAATTTTAAAGGTGAAGACAAAGCACTTCAACATGAAATCTCAAAACAAGGAGCAATTTATGAGCATGCCTGCTTTAGTCAAACACTGATCATCTGACAGTCCATTGGCAAATCTAACTTTGAACTAACTTGAGACATTCTAGCAGAGTTTTATATGTATCATTACATTTCATTGAAAAATTCTCTATTATTTCCATAACAGTTCCTTAGTGAGTGTGAGTATCCCTTTTCAGTCAAGATCCTTTGGTTCCTCAAACTTCAAGTTTGAGATTCAAGAGTATCAGTCAAAAACAATTTTGTGATCTGAGCTAAACAAAAAATAAACCTCACTAGTCAACAAAATCTTCTTTTCCGTGATGATTCTCAGTTATTTTTTATGTGATATCTTGTTTCAAAACATTCTTCATCTGATTTTATAACCCTTTCTTCATTAAATAAACATTTGAATATGGTAAATATCCCAATGTCAATGTTGCACAAGTGCTTCATAAATATTTAGAGTTGCCCCACTTGTAACTTAACTTGTTTTAACCAAAAGTACTGTTCAGAAGAATAAGCCACCATATTTCTTTACTAACCCAACTGCATGGATTTCATGTGCTGAAATACAGAACATGGCTTTTAAACATTAAAACATTCTTTTTAATGGCTATGAATTGGCTAAGCTTTCTTTTACACAACCAAAACACCCAGGACTGTCTTCAAATTGCTCTCCCATTGTTTGCAGCCTGAATTCACAGACTCATTCTTTTTGGGTCTGTACTTATCTTTACAATACCAACTTGTACAAGTGGAAACACGTAGTACTAACGGGTAAGCATTAGGATACTCCTTTTTTATTTCTGCAGCAGCTGTTGCTGGCAGAATAACAATAGGTTAACATAAAGCACAAGCACTCAAACAGATCTGTACATCAAAATGTGAAAAAAGAACTGCTGAGATGATTTGCAACGGAAGGTTGGAGCTATTTGCAAAAGTTAAAATGCTTTTCCATTAGACAAATGTGTCTGTCAGTAGATCAGAAAGAGGCAAATGCATGATGGAAACAATAGGCACAAGAGTTAAAATGTAATAAAATTCAATACACTCACTCAGTTTCAGATGCAGCAGGAAGGTTCCAAACACATGCATTACTTACAGATTTTAAGCAGGGTGAGTACAGACGACAAGATGAAATTTATTTGTGTCTCTTGGTTATGTTGAAGTGAAAATGGTTCCTTCTGACCTAAAAACAAAACAGAAAAACATTGTATGTTATTATTTGTTTCCTCTGGTTGTGTAGGTATTGTGCCAAAATACTAGTTACAAGTACTAAATCTGTGATATCAAATTATTTTTACAGTATTCACCAAGTTAGATAACTTTTTAATCCAGAAATGTTCTTACTTCTTCTTGGCTGTAGTGTGTAAAATTATACTTGACAATTAGGTCTTTCTTTTGAGTGGTTCGTGTAGAGATAATGCTCTGAGATATTTTGGAATATAATTCCTTTCACTGAAAAGGTTAAAACACACTACTTTCTTCATGTGAAGCCTGCAATAAATTAATGTCCTGGTTTGAGGTAGAACAGAACCAATCACCTCTTTCATTTAGTGTCTAGACCATCCCAAACCACAGGAATTATTTTGGATGCATTCTGTGGATTCAGTGAGGTATTTAGGTGCTTCACTTTTTTTAAGCATGAAGGACAATTATTCTCTGAATAATGGCCCAAGACAGAAGGAATATATATCCCTACAACACAATTTTCCTATGTAACCACAGCCTTTTACTTTCAAGACACCAAATAAAAACAGAGGTAGGAAGCTTATTACATTCTTGTTAGAGGCACTAAAACAGCTGTACTGCATAGTCTAAGAGTTTTCAAACCCATTAGGTAGCAAATGTTTTTTAGAATTTTAAAAAGGAAAATCCAGTTAGAAAGACCTTACACTGGAGTCAGATTAATAGATATAATACAAATATCTGATGCCTGAAGCAGTACTTCAGATTAATCCTATCATTAACCCCAAACAATTTTTTCCCTTTAAACTAATTTTTAAAGAACAGCTCTTAACAGCCTGCAGCACTGAAATAAAGAACTAGCACTGGTAATCATGGTATATACAACTCTCTTTCCCAGACAGTTGCCTAGGAATATCTTGCCATCTGCTGGAAAAGCACAGATATACATGCTCAAATAAATGCAGGCTTCAGTTAGTGTCAGAGACAACTAAGAAATCTCTGCAAATTAAGTATGTCCTCCTTAAGATAACTTACACTAGACTTCAGCAGCTCCTCGTTAGTATTGGCTGCTATTGACCCTGTTTGCTAATAAGCCACAATGACTCTTAAAAAAACAAACCAGAAAGTAAAATCCACTGTTTATTTCCAGTAGGTGTGAACTCTTCCTTCTTTCTTACAAAACTTAATTACCAATAGTGGTAAGGAAATCATTATTATCCTACCTCTTAAAAAAATTCTTTTAGGCCATGTGTCAGAGATCTGTGATTCCACAAAGCTCATCATATAAAAGAATGAGAAACTCCTATTTTGTTGTGCTAGATATGATAGGACTTACTTTCAAAAACAAACTGAAATATTTGAAAAAAACTTTTTTTAAGCTTTCCCCTCCTCAAACAAATCGGTTTACTTCATAGTTTGCTCTTCAGAGTAAAAGAACTAATACAAAGTGATAATAATTTTAAAAGGAACTAAAATCTTAGTTTTAGTGCAAAAAATATCTCATTTAAGCCTGGAATTAAATTAAATGAAATTACCTGTAGGGGCCTGTCAGCTCTTCAAATCTAGTTGTAGTGGACAGCACTATTAGAAGTTTTTATTAAGCTGAGGATGGTTTAGTAGAATATAAAAGTGTAATGCCCTGCCATCTGGAAAAAAAAGAAAAAAAAAAAAGAAAGCTCAGAAAGCTCAGGAATACTCTCATGATTTACAGCTCTAGGACAACAGAAGTTGATTGTTTTTCAAAAACAATATGCTAGAAACAATGACCATACAATATGTAGCATTTACAAACCAGTTACAACCTTATTAGCTAATGCAGAGAGCAAAGCTGACTTCTCAAAAAAATGCCATCTGCGCAGAAGTGGGAAGAATCTATTAAGAAATTCAAGTGTTTAAACAATCTTGTAATATAAGAAAATAAAAAAAAAACCCAACTCAAAATAAGACTTCTAAAATAACAGCTTTAGTACCGACTGATCAACTACAAAATATCTCTGCAAGACAAAAAAATTACTGATGAGGTTTTCTTCAAGCACTGAAAATGTACCTAATCCTTCACCCTCACAAAGTTGTCCTAGGAAAAAATAACAACAATAAACCACACAAAACCTCAAATCACAGTTCTGAAGAACTGCACTACCTTTTATCTCCCAACCCAACCACTCAAGGAGCTCAAGTCATCTCATTGACATGACAGGGAGATCAAAGTCTAGCTTGCCCTGAAAGACTTATGTTTGTAGACACATCTTACATAATGTTCTCCATCTTAAGAAGAGGAAATCTAGAACACATGAAGATTTAAAGGCCCATTTTGAAACCATATTGACAGTTCCCACTAAAATAAAATTAACACCTGAATAATTCAGATTAAAGACTGATAAATGAAACCATTTGGCGCATTTCCTTGGTGTCGGAGAAAACATCTAGGCTGATGTGAATAAGTTTTGTCCCTTTAATGCTACTTAAACTAGTGTTAACTATTAGTTATTTGTATTTTGGAAGGTTGTAGAAACATCAAAAGAAGGCTCAGGGCAACATCCATCTAAATTCACCACAAATTCCCCCAAAAGATATTGTGAAAGTGCTAAATGGTGTCTAAAAAGAACTTGATGTAAGTGTACACAAGGTAATGGCAGGAGACTAAGGATCCATTTTTATTTTTTTTTCCATTTTCAAAATACAGATTATGACCACTCAACTCCAGGAAGTAAAAAAAAAATCTAATAGTTGTGACACCTTGGTTTAGTTTATTTTTCAAATTTGGTGGGTTACTGTCGCCCAATGGCAGATATAAACAGGTCAGCAAAAGCCCCAAAGCCACCTTTTGCCTTGACAGCTTATTTGCTTAGAAAATCGTTTTAAAATACACAAGGAAAATAGCTGTTTGGCCACTGAAAGTAGCATTTCCACTAGGGGACTCTGTGAGTTAATTATCCCACGCCTTCACCTGAGGAACAGGCAAAGCCCCGACCTCCTCTTTAAAAAGGAGACGGCTTTGCTTCAGTCACAGCCGATTCACAGTTTGAAATCAGAAAATCAAAGTATCATTAGGAAAAAAACCCAACTTTACAAAGCTAAGACCATTAACCGTTTTACAGACTTGCTCTTGTTGAAACCATAGTTAATTCAACAACACGGCTACAACCTACTCGTTGTTTTTCTCTCTCCCTTCTGGTCTGGCCACTGAGAAGTGTGACACCGTTTACATCTTCGTCATTTTATTTCTTCTTTATTATCTTGGCCGCGGTTTTCCCGCTTTGACAGTTCCGAATGAAACCTCCCCTCAAGGCTGGTTGCCGTGTTTACACTCACGGGGGATTATATTCCTGTGGAAGTGAGTTTTTCAGGAAGCGATTCTGACAGGTCGGGTGCAGCCGGGACACTGGATCGGGGAGGGTGGGGTGCTGACAGGCTATTTGTTTGGGGGTCAGCTTTTGGGGGTTTTTTTGTTTGTTTTTTTTCTTTTTTTAAAGAGAGACCGAGCGACAGCTGTGCCTGTGGATGGCTACGGGACAGCCCCCCTCCTCAGCCCGGCCTCCCCTGCCGGGCTCCGCTCCACCCCTCGCCTCAGCACCGCCCCGGCCCAGCCCTCAGGCGGTCCCGCGCCCGGCGAGGCCACAGCGGGGAGCCAGAGGCCTGCGGCAGCCGGGAAGACTCGCTACCTCTCCTGAGGGCTCCGAAGAGGGTAGAGGCGCGGGCTCGCTGCCCCCATAGAGCGGGAACGGTGGCAACCGACTCTCCTCTCGGGCCTGGGGCTATTCCTTCCGCCACGGCGTCTCAGAGGCCACAGCACGGAAACCCTCCGGCGGGGCCGAGGCGGAATGCGGCCGGCAGCGGCCCGGTGAGGCCCCGCCGCCTCCGCGCCTCTCACCTCAGCCATCGCCTCAGCCCTCCGCGCCTCTCACCTCAGCCGCTGCCCCCGCGGGACCGGCGCGCTGGCCGCCGATTGGCTGCAGGTGTTCTCCTACCCCTTCCTCCCTCGCTTTTGATTGGCTGAGATGCTCCTACTCCTCAGGTAACGGTTCCCGGCCTATGATTGGCCGTGGGTGGGCGGGATCCTTTTGGGGATTGGCTCCAGGTGAGTCGGAGCTTGCTATTGGCTTACAGGTAGTGTAGGAGGTGTTCCATTGGCTGCGGGCGCTAACCTTCTTAGTCCGCCATGTTCGGCGCGGTGGCGCCGTTGCCACAGGCGCTGGCGAGAGCGGGGCTGTGAGGCGGGGCGGCGGGTGGGCGGCTGAGGGGGGAGAGCGGCGGGGGAGCCGCCGGCTTGTCCCACCGTGCTCTGCCGCCGCTCGTTCTCCGGCGCCCCGCCGGCAGGGAGGGCTGTGGGGAGCCGATAGTCCGAGCCTAAACTTCCTCGCGGGACTTTGAGCAACTTCGGGCTGTGGAGGTGCAGCCGAGCGCCGCTGGGACGCGGGCGGAGAGCCGGGCCCCGTCCCCTCAGGTCCCGGGCGTCCCCTGTCCCGCCGGGTTCCCTGAGGGAAGCGGCGCCGGTGGGACCTCCCTCGGTCGGAGCAGGTAGGAGGAAAGGGCAGCTTCTGGTACCTACGGCCCTGCTTCCCCGGACAGGGGGGTTAGGGAGCTGTATGAATATGTATGTGTGTGTGCGCATATATCTGAGGGAAGGAGGTGGTAATTTTGAATAAACAAGGTGTTTGTCAGCTTGTAAACTTAACTTAAATTGCCCTTTGGAGTTCTTCTGCTTTTCTTGGGTGAACTTGTAACCAACGCTACCTGAGAGCTGTCTGCTGTGTGTATTAAAACTGTTTTGAGCTGAAACGCTCTGCTCTTTAGAAGAAAAGAGCCAGAAGCTGTGTTGATGAATAAGTAAAGATTTCTTTGGAGTATTTTTGGCCAATGAGAGAACTGTTGAATGTTTTACTAAAAAAATAATCTTAAATGCTTGGGATATTTCTGTAAAACTAAATCATATAGAATATTTTTAACTGATCTCATTTAATTTCTGTGCATGTCAATGGTCTTGATTACTTTCCTTTTGATTTTTTTTTTGCTGTTCTGTGTGAAGCTATTTGTGTTTATAGAGTTTGAGACAACTTGTTTGTTTAGTAGAGTGTGTGTATATTCATCTGTATTCTGGTTTTCTTTCTGTGCAGCTGGATTGAAAATCATCTGGAAGAGAAACGTGTATTTCACGTGTGAAGCTGTTCACTGTAGAATTAAAGGAGTTATCTGTCTCGAATGAACTTATTTCTATATATTTATAACTTCATTTAGACTGATAAATACAGGCCATGCCTAGCAGAATGGGCTCAAAAATTGATTTGAACAAAGACTTCATCAAAGTGAAAACACACTATAGAGGGTAAGTCAGCATGTTTTCTCCTCTGTATTGTGTCCTGTCTAATTTTGAGTCCTGTTGAGCAGGAGTTCATGGTCTGACCTAGTGATAGAGTAACCAGGGTGTTGGTAGCTTTGTAATTAATGTCAGACCAGGTAGGTAAACTTCAGTTTTTAGCTAGGATACTGACTTGAATTCTCTCCTTATGTCTAGTTATTTGATTTTTGTCTTCATTTTGCCATCTGTAAATTGAAAGTCTAGCAGAATCAACTAATGTGCAGGTCACTTTTCTATGGGTTAAGTTTTCATGTGAAGATTTGCTTAGTGAAAATATAGATAAGCTTTTTGTGGTGTCGAGACTTATGTTTTAAAATACGGGAATGTGCTACTTGAGGTAAAATTTGTGAGAAATACATGTATGAAAGTAAATGGGACTGTGGTTGTTGTTACTGCTGCTCAGTAATTTCTGTGTTCATAATGGTTAATGTAGATAACTGGGTTTTGTTGGGGTTTAGCCTGCACCATGGTTATGGTTATTTAATAGATACATGTAAACTGCTTTATTAACTCCGGGTGAAAAATTTGTATGCTATATTTGCCAGTACTAGTAATTAATTTATGCTCCATAGTTTTTTCCTGCACCTCTGAATCATGTCATACGTAGTCTCAGGTTGAAAAGAACATCTGAACTTCAAATACTTGTGTGATGTACTTCTCCAAGACGCGTGGCTATGCTTGCTTCTCTGAACCAGGAGTATGAGAGCTGCCTTACCTCAGTAAGGGAAGGCACCATAACCACAAATAGAACTTAATGTAAGCAATTTGGGACAGCTTGCTGGCAGGTGCTGTTGTTAGAGAGTCAAAGGAGTTGGTCTGTTGAACTTGTCTGCGCAGAAATGGAGGTGGTGGTAATAGCTGTTGTCACTGTTAGAAATCATGTGTAATTATTACGACGTTTTATAATAAACTACTACTGTAGCTTCTCCTGCAGCACTATATTCAGTAATTTCCATGAGCTGTGAAATCTATTCCATGTCAATTTATTAAACAGAAGTTCCCAACTCAGTGAATTTTTGTTTTGTTCTACTGATCAAATTCTGTGGATGTTTTTGGTGCTATAGACTGCATAACCAAATACCTCAGTATGCCCATTAAAGTACTACACATCTTTTTTGGTGCTATAGACTGCATAACCAAATATCTCAGTATGCCCATTAAAGTACTACACTCATCCTTTGAACAAATTTGACAAACTGCAGGAAGTCATTGATGCTGAACAACTTCAGAACTGGGGACAAGCTCATTTAGGTAGCTGCTAAAAAACGATAATAATAGTACAATATACAGTTTTGAAATCCCAGTTAAAAATCAAAGCATGAGGAAGTTCTGAAACACGTGAGTGTTGAGTCTATCTCTGTGGAGTCCTAGTATCTTAGGTATTCGTGTTTCTGGGTGTGACAGAGTTCCTAACATAGCATAGTATAAATAACTGCATAAGTAGATTGCAAAAGAAAGTAAACTTGTGTAATTCTCACTTTATTATTTCAGTTACTTAGTTTTCTGGTTTATACCTGGTTGCTTGAAATAACTTCATTTAAATAGAGCGGTGATGCAGAATAATTTGCTGTGTGTTACTTTGGTGCTAAATGGGATGCATTTAATCTATCAGTGTGAATGGTTCTCGTGCTGTAACTGCTCATATGTAACTTACTGGTTGTTAGTTCTTATTACTTTGTAGTGTCCAATTTCAGGTACCTGATAAAGGTGTCCTATGGGATTCTTTAGTGTTAAACAACAAATGGTTTTCATTTATCTGTACCAATTGCCTAATGTAGCTATACAGACATTAAGATTAAACACAGTAAATCACGAAGGAGCATAGACATCATTGAGGTAATGATAATTTCAATAAATCTTGTTCGTGTTTGCATCTGCAGTAGGTGCTATTTAGCATACTTCAGCTGTGTTATTTTGTTTATTATGAAGTTTAATTTACATATAGATGGAATTGTTGGTATATGCGGGCTAATGCAGGTATTTTTTGACAAAAGCTTATGATTTCATCTCATGCAGCGACATCTTGATAACAAACTTGGATGCATCAATCAGCTATGATGAACTTTGTGATGAAGTGCATGAGATGTGTAATTTACAACAGGAACAGCCGATTACCCTCAAGTGGATTGATGATGAAGGTATTGTACTGAAATACTCCTTAGTTGTTAGTACAAAGAAGGGGCATTGAGGAAATGTGTATAAACAGGTTTCATATTGCGGAGTTACTTTTCATTTCTCAATACCAGGGTTCATAAAGCAAGGAGCTTGGAGAAATGAGCCTCAAAACATCAAGATTACCTTTACAGCCCTTTTTCTAATTCCTCATTCTGAGTAGTTAAGTTTGAATCCATCTGCTGTTTCAGCTGCCCTCAGTCCTCACAAGTTCTGTGAGTTATCCTCTTTCTGCATATGAGGGAGTATTTCCATTTATTGCCACATGTAATTCAAATTCATTGACTGATTTCACAAACAGATGTTCTCTTTGAACTTATTTAAAGCGAACAATTGCTGATGGCTTAATGGATAAAGAAAACCTACTGAAGAAAATGATTTTTCAGTTGGGCTTTTTTAGTATTTATCTGTTTTTTGACAAGATGTGAAACTGTTTGAACTATTAATCATTTGCTCGTAATAAAATCCCATAAACATATAAGGAATATGGATTGTTAATTTGCAGTACAAAAAATTCTTCTGTCTTTCATGTTGCGTTGTTGCAGTATTTATAGATCATCAAGATCAATGGTCTCTGAAGAGGAGTAGATGCACCCTAGGGTGCATCTTTTTTAAAAATAACAATATTATTAAAAAATAAGCAATTAAGCTTGATTTAATATGTGAATCAACACTGGTGTCATCACTTGGCCCATGTATCAGAGGGTCACATGTCACATATGTGACATAGGCAGGGTGTGCTGAGGGAAGAGTGGTTGTTCCACAAAGTTGCAGGGGTTGAGAGTGGCACCCTCACTCATTTGCTTGCTTTCAGTGTATTGTGACGTACTGCAGTTTACGTGTGCCTGGTTAAGTGGATTTATGGATTAATTATCTAGTTTTAACTAAAATAACCCTCACAAGGTAATGCTGCGAATGTGAGCACAAGCAGCCAACAAAAAAATGGTGGAGGTGACACGTCTCATGCTCCTGAGTATGAACTCCATCAGCCACACTACAAGCTAATTGCATCTGACAAGTAGTCAGTCAAAAAGATTCAAAATTATCAGAAATGGTATTTGAAATATGTGTTTACAGCCATTATTTTTAATGATGAACCTCACCCAAAGTGTAGGTTGTGTTCTGAGATAATAGATAATAGATGATGATAGCATGAAGCCATCATGATTAGCAATACAGTTAAAAACTAAGTGCGTTGTTGCAGTATTTATAGATCATCAAGATCAATGGTCTCTGAAGAGGAGTAGATGCACCCTAGGGTGCATCTTTTTTAAAAATAACAATATTATTAAAAAATAAGCAATTAAGCTTGATTTAATATGTGAATCAACACTGGTGTCATCACTTGGCCCATGTATCAGAGGGTCACATGTCACATATGTGACATAGGCAGGGTGTGCTGAGGGAAGAGTGGTTGTTCCACAAAGTTGCAGGGGTTGAGAGTGGCACCCTCACTCATTTGCTTGCTTTCAGTGTATTGTGACGTACTGCAGTTTACGTGTGCCTGGTTAAGTGGATTTATGGATTAATTATCTAGTTTTAACTAAAATAACCCTCACAAGGTAATGCTGCGAATGTGAGCACAAGCAGCCAACAAAAAAATGGTGGAGGTGACACGTCTCATGCTCCTGAGTATGAACTCCATCAGCCACACTACAAGCTAATTGCATCTGACAAGTAGTCAGTCAAAAAGATTCAAAATTATCAGAAATGGTATTTGAAATATGTGTTTACAGCCATTATTTTTAATGATGAACCTCACCCAAAGTGTAGGTTGTGTTCTGAGATAATAGATAATAGATGATGATAGCATGAAGCCATCATGATTAGCAATACAGTTAAAAACTAAGTATCCAGAGCAAGAAGACCAACCTCTACCTTTTTCCACCCCACCCCCCCGCCTTATCAAGTCTTATGATACTCAATTTGGTACTTTACACAACTTCATTAAACTTCATGTTAAATTTTTAAAGCCAGTTTTGAGGTTTCTTATAGCAAAAGGCAAAAAGCCATGTACCATTGGGAAAACACTCATTCTTCCTGTCATGGTAAATATGGCTGGAATAATATACAGAAAACAAGATAAGGACAAACTGAAATGCATTTGTTAGAAAATACTGCTGGAAGATGCATAGAAGTTATTGCTGAAGATTTGAAGAAATAAGTATTGAAACAACTATGCAGTGTGGGTGTTTTATGGAACATCACCAACGTGTCATGTTGCTGTTTCCAAATCCTACTGAAGTCCATCCTATTAGTCCATCTTTGAAGTCCATGTCCTGAAGTCCGTCTTTGGGCTGCCTCTCCTTCAGGGCTTCAGAGAAACAAAGTTTACTTGATTTTCACAGCTTAAAGGCTCATATCCATACCACAGGTAGTTTTTAGTCTTCCAAATCTTGCTAGTTAATAATGTTTTTGGAGTACTCTTGTGTGAATACATGTATTTCTGCATGTTTTCTTAATATGAAACTAATGGTATAAATCACAGATAAAAAGTAATGGGGTGTGGATATGTTGCGGTGCTTGAGCACAGGCCTTAGTGTGTGCTAATGCTTGTGTTTCCATTTATTTTAGTCTTTTCCCTGTGAATTTCATCCTGATATCTTGTAGTTCGGGGTGTGTGGGTTTTTTGTTTTGTCTATTTCAATAGTTATGCTCTTTAGAATGTGCTTAAAGTTGGGGCTGGCATGCTGCCTTTTTGAGAACTTTTAAAAGTGCACTTTGAGTCTGCTACTACAGAATGTGAGTACAGAAGATAAAGTCATAAAAATTAAGGCTTAATATATCTTTTTTTGAAAGGAGGAATCTTTGTGGCTAGGCAGCTTTCATGATTATTTTTTTCTTTCTGTTTACTTTTCTTCTTCTAAATCTAAGTTAAAAATTGTGAACCCATTTTCCTCAAAACATACAGGCTGACCCTGAAAACTTTAGAGGCTTTTAGAGGGAAATGAATTTTACGTTTATTATATTTCTGCATCAGTGTTGGCATATTTGTATCCCATCTGTAACTCTTGTCAGTGTATCTTATTTTTTGCACTTTTCAATCACAGATGGCTTTTCTGTTGGTCTAGCAAGAGAGACTCAACTAGAATCTATATGTACCTTCATAACCTTTAAGTTATGCATGGTTCTGTAGTCAGTGAAGTTAAGGTAGTAATATAATGGGCCATTTAACAAAGGGTAAGTTTATTATATTTCTGCATCAGTGTTGGCATATTTGTATCCCATCTGTAACTCTTGTCAGTGTATCTTATTTTTTGCACTTTTCAATCACAGATGGCTTTTCTGTTGGTCTAGCAAGAGAGACTCAACTAGAATCTATATGTACCTTCATAACCTTTAAGTTATGCATGGTTCTGTAGTCAGTGAAGTTAAGGTAGTAATATAATGGGCCATTTAACAAAGGGTAAGTTAATTTTGAATTAAACTTAAATTCTCAGGTTACTAGGAAGTGATTGCTTTTTTTCTGCTGTGTGTAAAGATCTTTAGTCACATCTGTTCACTTTTGTATTTTGTTGTCCCCTTGTAAACAAACATAGTATATTTCGATCTACTCAGTTTTGGTAAAATTAGAAGGAAAAAAATTGTGTTGGTGTATTTTGGCTTTGATCAAAATGGCAGCTTAATATTAAATGATTGAAAGAAAATTGATCCTGGAGGCTGGTATGTTTCTTACCAACTAATGGAAATTCTCCACTTAATTCTTCAATCATAAATTTGCTTCTGTATTGCTTTTCTGTTAGGTGACCCATGTACCATCTCATCTCAGATGGAACTGGAAGAAGCCTTCCGTTTGTATTGTCAAAACAGAGATGAAGGGCTGATTATTCATGGCAAGTATTGCACAGTTTAAGAACCTGTATGTGTTTGTTGATAATCCTAATAACTTCTTAATGCGAGATTGGAACAACTCCTTTGCTTGTCTAATGACATTCTTCTTTGTGTAGCTGGTGCCCTAGAGCTTGATGCTGTAAGATGGAAGTGTTTTTTTGGGGAGTGCAGCCCAAAGCTGAACCTGCACAGTGGGCTTTGGGGGGGGCTTAAAGTTCTGAACTGCACAGATTTATTCATGCTAGAGTCAAGTATAAGATCTTGCCAATACAGACCCAAATATTGATTACGTTATTTCTCAGGCAGAATAATTTAAAGGCTTCCAGAAGCTGTCTTTGTGTAGATTCAAGAATCAAGGAAAAAGTACTACTGAGTATCTTTTCACTTAAAAATATAATGTTTTTGTTTCAGTTTTCCCAAGTATTCCAGAGAAGCCAGGCATGCCTTGTCCAGGAGAAGACAGTGAGTACAAAAATGTTATCAAATTTTAGCTCAATTTTTTTTCAGTCACATGGACAAGAAATGTATTGAAAGATTTTCATAAGTTAGTGTTACGTTTTGTGGTTTCTTAATGTAAAATGATACTTTGTCAACAGAGAATTTACATAAATCAACATTGTAGTACTGTTTTTATGTTTCTGAGGATTAATACTGGTTTCCAGTAGCTGATACATTGGGAGGAAAAGAGGTCAGGATTTTAGATGCATATTTGAGTATGGTCCTTTTGTGGTGGTTCAGGTTTCTCACCTTGCAGGGAAAAAAAGTGATGTACTAAAGAAGAGGGACATACAGCCTTTTTACTTTTTTTTTAAATAAAAAGGCTATTAATCTCTAAAAAAAAAAAATCTTGTGAAAGATAGATAAGCCTCCAGAGGAAGCATACATGATTCTAATTATTTTTGCTGAAGTTTCAACAAGGAAATGGGCAACCAGTCCATCTTGTTATATCGCATAATGTACAGTACTTCTATTGAATGTGCAAGCAAATAAGACTGGATTTCAGTACTTGTTTGTCCATGAATTAAAATTCAAGTGAGGACTGTGTAGTTATATTTTACTGTATGTTGAAAAGATATTTACTATGAAATAGTATGTTGAAAATGTTTTACTATGCTGTCACTTTCCAGTTTAGCTTAATAGGTTGAAAATATCTATGGGAAAATATTTTCAGCCTCAATTTTCATGGTCATTGTGAAAAGAGTGGTCTTAGTTCTGTAGGTTTAAATATGTTCTTGATGTGAATTGTATACAAGCAACACTGCTATATTTTGGGACCTGAGTTACAGAAGGTGTTATGTCCTAAAGTGAATCTCTTCCCTGGAAAGGTGTCAGGTTGGCATTGGCAGACAAAAATTGAACCTCTGTATCTACAGAAAATATTGTTAGCAATAGTAAAAGTTCTGTTTTTCGCTGTGTCGTGTTATTCTTGCCAAATGTTATTTTAGTAAAGATGCTTGAGGGTGTTTGTGTAGTCCAATGTCTTGTGTGCCTTTGACTTTTGTGAGAATTGCAGGAAAAGAGAAGGTGGTGGATTTGGGGATTAGCTGCCCTTAGAATGCTTGTGGTGTTCTACCAGGGCAGATTTTGCCAAGGGTAGGTGTTAATACTCCATCATAAGTCTTCAGGCTGTGTTCTGTGAAACTCCTGTCTTTCAGTGGAGACAGAAGGGTTGATTTTGTTTAAATTTCCAGCGTTATTTTAGTAAAGATGCTTGAGGGTGTTTGTGTAGTCCAATGTCTTGTGTGCCTTTGACTTTTGTGAGAATTGCAGGAAAAGAGAAGGTGGTGGATTTGGGGATTAGCTGCCCTTAGAATGCTTGTGGTGTTCTACCAGGGCAGATTTTGCCAAGGGTAGGTGTTAATACTCCATCATAAGTCTTCAGGCTGTGTTCTGTGAAACTCCTGTCTTTCAGTGGAGACAGAAGGGTTGATTTTGTTTAAATTTCCAGCTTTGCATTGGCTGCCCCCATTAATTCTGCACCTAAGAACGGAACAATCAAGTCTGGCATCACTACAGTGTTTGGGGTTCTTTCATGTCATGCTGAAATCTATTTTGTTTTCTTTTGCTATCTTACTTCTAGCTTGTTGGATGAAAATTGTAGGGAGTGAACTCACGTGGGCATCCGTGCCACTCTGCTTTCCCAGTGTAAGAACTGAAAGAAGCAGCAGACTCTGGCTCTGCTTCTGTTCCTCTAGCTGTGTAGAGGGACAGAGGAAATACTTGTGTTGTACCCACCTAGACTGGTGCTAGTACCAGATAGAATTATTTGCCCTTATTTGTGAAAACTCAGAGCAAAGTAGTGTGAAATACTGTCAAGAAAAGTAAGCTAACTGGAGGAGAGAAAAGTCTGTTGCTTAAAGGGGTCGCATAAATAAAATCGCATAACAAAGTTCACTGCAGTTTAATGATCTCATTAAAAGTGTGGGTATTTTAGTACAAAAGTTATTTTGTGTTAATTCGCTAGATGTTTTAGTTATCTGGAGCCACGAGACGAACTTCAGAAGTGCATAGATTAGTGTGGCTCAGATGACCTGGATATTCTGTCTGTAGGGTATTTCTCCCTGTATGGTTTTACAGGTCATGGTGAATCATAAAAAGCCTGTTCTGTAGGATGTGCTCAGTAAGTGATTTGTGGTCAGGTTTCTCATAATTTAATGAATTAATTCGGTGCCTATTACCTCTTTGCATCCATGGAAATGCATGGAAATCTGGTATTGTGGCCTACTTGTAACTATTTTGAAATTGTTTTACAACAAACTTATTAAATGTATTGGTGCTAATTTAGCATAAAGTCATGCATTCAGCATTATTGTGTGGTAGCTAAAGGAATGCAACAAACTTCTGCATTGCACTTAGACTGTATTGAAATGTTATTGATAGTGGTGATATAGTTTGTTTAAAGGACTATTTATTTTGACAGAACTAAAATATTGTCCTTTATTCCAAAAATGTTCAGTATGGTTCAATTTCTTATTTTATATGGCTTTATCAAAGTTATATTCATAAGAAAACCTTTTAAGAAATGAGGCCATTACGTATTTGCTTTTCTAGAGCATCATGCTTACACTACAAAGGAACTTAATGAGTTTGCTTTGAGTTATTTCCAGAGACAAATAAAGAGTTAACTAGTTGCTCTGTTCAAAATGGGCCTGTAGCTAGACTAGCAGTCTCCAGTGTGGACCTCTGGTTTGTTACAGAACTGCAGACAGTTGGAAATGGAATTTTTGAACAAAACTATTGAATAGTTTCTTTTGTCTTTCAGTTGCTAAATAATTTCATTGGTCAGATTTGTTAGTTCACGGAGCGACTATTTCTAATAGTATGTGATTTTCTCAATTGCGAATATTTTACAGGGAATTTCTGTAGAACTGTCAGTTTTTCTTCCCAGTTTCTTCAAAACCATAACACTGTGGAAGAAGAGTGCAGAAGTACATACTGAACATTTTGCATTTATATTGAAATCTAATAATATAATTGCTAGCTGTCCTGGACCTTTGTGAAATGGATATGGTTTTGAGATTGTACCAGCCAGCAGAGCTTGAAATAAATGCACATAATCCATTAATGGAATAATCCATGGGACTAAAGTTTCAATTCTACTTGAATTCCTCAAGAAAAGTTTTTTTCAGGTTGAAGAACCTACTTATAGATGCGATGCTGTCTGCAAGAGAGAGTCTGCCATCTCCAGCATCTGAACTTGTACTGTCTCTATTCCTTTTGCTCCTGAATTTTTGCACTGTTTGGTGGTTTTATTTTTGCCCCAGACCCACTATAAATGTGCAGAAACGGTACCTTTTACCTTGAGTGAGACAGTTAACCCGTCCCCAGGGGCTGGGGTGGCAGTGCTGCTGTGTGGGTGAGGTGGCAGGATTTCTCAAACATCCTGCATCTCTTCCCAGACACTGAATGTGACCTCTCGGAGGCGTTCTGAGCATCTGCTGGCCTGGAGCCTTGTGTGCTTTATCGCAATGTTGCCTGATAAAGATGGCAGATTTTTAGGCCAGTCTTTTATATTTAAAAAATATATTTTCTTTAGTAGGTCAGCTATTCTTTCGGAATTGCTATTAACCAAGGTTGTTTCTGAAAGGTTGAGGTGTGTGTTTCTCTTCTGCGCGTCTCAGCGATAGCCTTCCCGATACCCTGATACAAAGCGTGGGGTCTGATTGGCAGTTTTATAACTTAGTTATTGTCGTCTCAGCTTATTTACACTGACAGATCTTGATCTGATTTATCACTCTGGGTGCTGCAGTGCATTGTATAACAAAGCACGTTCAGCCAAACAATTTCTATCGATTTGTAGGACTTCCCTAATGGAATTGCCGGTTTTATCAGAGAAATACTTGTTTTTGTGACATCAGCTCCTTGACATCCATGCCATGTTTTAGTTTGTGCCTCAGCTGCAAGCTACAGCCTCTCAAGGGAGCCAGTACCACCCGTGCCTGGATACATGAGGCAGAGATGTGAAAGGGAGAGACGGGGGGAACCAGTCTTCCATTAAATATTTGCTCTTAATGTTCGAGCTGATCCTGCCTATTGTCCTTGGTATCTAATGGTATTCACACAGCGGCATCAGTGGAATAAAGGGAAAATGTTTCATTTCATACCTACTACATTGTAAAGCGTAAAGAATTAGATGCTGAAGAAGCAAAAGAATAAAATCCAGTGAGTAACGCATGCTTTTTCTATAGATTTTATGTATTATTATGATGATTTCTGTTATGAATTGAGGCCGTTGATGCAGTCTGTGTGTACGTGTGGTGCAGTAGATAATAGAACTCAGCATTTTGGTTATGATACAGTTGCTTTGCCTGCCACCCTCCTTTGCAGCCATAGATTGTTACAAATGCAGAGATTCCTGCTGCCTCTTGTGCGTAGGGATGTGGCTGAGAGACCTCTCGGAAACGCTGATAAAATTGCATTGAAAGGACTCCTGGGGAATGTATTTTAGGAGGAAAAGAACAGAAGAGTGAGTGATGCTGCTGCTGCTAATAAGGGAGATTAATGAAAGAAATGTATCCAAAAAACCCTGACGGTATGTGTTCAGGGCCTGTTTATTGTAAGATTGCTGATGTAAAGCTTAACAATTTAGAAGCATCATTTTCTGAGGCCTTTTTGTTTAACTGTGTTTAGTGGCTTATTTTAGATGGATGTTTTTTAATTGTGAAATAATTGTTTTGAATGAAGGTTTACATAGTTTCTAATATTGTCAGGATAAACTGTGCTAATATATGTCTGCATTTTTACATCTGAATGAATAGATATGTGTATTTAATGTTAATGTTAATCTTGGATTTGGGTTGCTAGTGCTAAAAATTGTAGGCTTGTTTTGCTGTTGGCTTCATTACATAGAAGAATACAGACTGGGAAACCTTTACACTTCAGGAAACAGAATTAATACCTTTTTGATGTGTAAGTACTTATGGCATTAGTATGACAGTAGACTGTATGTTTTTATTATCTAG